CCTCCCAAGTAGCTGGGACCACAGGCACCCACCACAATGCCTGGCTATTTTTTTTGTTGTTGCAGCCATCATTGTTGTTTAGGTGGGCCTGGGCTGGATTTGAACCCACCACCTTAGGTGTATGTGCACCTTAGCCACTTGAGCCACAGGTGCTGAGCCGAGGCTACTGCATTCTACCAGGGCAACAGTGAGACTCTGTCTCAAAAAAATAAAAAGAAAAAGAAAGAAAAAATGCAGAGTACAGCGAGTTCACATACCTCCCCCACCCCAAGCTATCATGGAAACCCTGCGTTAGTGTGCAGCCTGTCACAGTTGACCATATCAATACTTTATTAATTGACATCCATAGTTAACACAAGGGCTCCCTCTTGGAGTTGCATGTTCTCTGGGCTTGGACATGTGTACAGTGCTATGTGTCCTCTGTTGTAGTATGACAAAGAACAGTTTTGCTGTCCTGAAAATTGCCTATGCTTCACCTGTTTGTCCCCCTCCCAAGCCCCCAGCAGCCACTGATCTTCCTGTCTCCATAGCTATGCCTTTTCCAGAATGTCACAGAGTTGGGACCACCCAGGGTGTAGCCTTTCTGGATGTTTCCCACTTAGCAATGAGCATTTGAGGCTGCTCTGTGTCCTCTCACGGCTCCATCACTTATCTTCCCAGCTCTGAGCACTATCCTGTTGTCCTGATGCACTGCAGTTTGTCTGTGTCTCCATTCTCCTGCTAAAGGGTGTCTCTGTCACAGACTGCTGTGCTATAGTGTTGTAGCGCAGCGTAGGTGCTTTGTTTACGGTCAGTCTTCACACTTGTATACATTTAAATCACATATTTTCTTTAGTAATTGTAATTGCACATTTGCATTATATTTCTGGATGTTTAGCCTTAAAGCTTATTTTTCAGGGTTTGTTTTCTCTGAAGAAAGATGAGCATTATGGCTCATTTCTGTGGGTTTCATGTTACTTACTGCAAAACCTGTCACCTGTAGGAGGCACTTGGCCAATACTTATGATCTCCATGCTCCTCAAATTCTCCTCATGCTGTGCTGTGTGGTTAGCACATTTTGTTATTAATAAGTTATTTGAAATTGGATTTGCCATGGATAGTGGTATTGTAATGTTGAGTTTCAGCTTGGAAGTGCCCTGCATGCCATGTCGTCTACTCCTGTTGGGACTTGGGGTTCATACTCCTCAGTCACCTTCTGGCCCTCACCCAGTGTTCAGCTCCACAGAGCAGGTGAAATTACAGCCAACACATAGTAAATAAGGCATGAATTATTAACCATCCCAACAAAGGACATGACTTTTATGAATTTCACTCGTTGATGATTGCTTTTAAAAGGCGCATTTTATGTGGATTTTCAGATAAAATTTATATTATAAAGTTAACCATTTTGTTTATTATTATTTTTGAGAGAGAGTCTCACTTTGGCACCCTGGGTAAACTGCCATGGCATCATAGCTCACAGCAACCCTCAATCGCCTGGGTCCAAGAGATCCTCCTGTCTCAGCCTCCTAAGTAGCCACAACGCCCAGCTAGCTTTTTTTTTTTTTCTTTTTTGTACAGATGGGATCTTGCTCTTGCTCAGTCTGGAAGTTAACCATTTAAAAAAATAGACTTTATCTGTACCTTGGTGGCACATTTGCTATAACCAATGAACCTACACTGATGAAAGTTACCGCCCAAAGTCTATAGTTTACATTAGTGTTAAAAATAAACCATTTTAGGCTTGGCGCCTGTGGCTCAAGTGGCTAAGGTGCCAGCCACATACACCTAAGGTGGCAGGTTCGAATACAGCCTGGGCTCACCAAACAGTGACAGCTGCAACCCAAAAATGGCCAGGTGTTGTGGTGGGTGCCTGTGGTCCCAGCTGCTTGGGAGGCTGAGCCCAGGAGTTAGAGGTTGCTGTGAGCTGCTATACCATGGCACTCTACTCAGGGGGACTGCTTGAGACTCTATCTCAAAAAAAAAAAAAAATTAACCATTTTAGGTGGCGCCTATGGCTAGGTAGGTGGGGCGCCAGACACATACACCAAGGGTGGTAGGTTTGAATCCAGCCCCAGCCAGCTAAGACAGCAATGACAACTGCAACAACAACAAAAAAATAGCCAGGTGTGTGGTGGGCACCTATAATCCCAGCTACTTGGGAGGCTGAGGCAAGAGAATCACCTAAGCCCAAGAGTTTGAGGTAGCTGTGAACTGTGATGCCACGGCACTCTACCAAGGGTGACAAAGTGAGACTCTGCCTTGGGAAAAACAATTACCTCTTTAAAGTGTATGTTTCAGTGGTTTTATTAGTATATTCAAAAAGTTGTACAACCATTATCTCTAGTTAGAAAACATTTTTATCATTCCAGAGAAAACAAAAGTTGTCTAGGCATGGTGGCTCACACTTATAATCCCAGCACTCTGGGAGTCCTCAGCAGGATGATCAGTTGAGACCAGGAGTTTGAGACCAGCCTGAGCAAGAGCAAGACCCTGTAAAAACAACAGAAAAACAACCCCCTACCAATTATTGGGACATCCCGGCCTATCCCAGCCCCTGTTCTGGATATTTCATCTGAACAAAATCACATAGTGCATGACCTTTGCTTCCCTCACTGAGCCTAAGAGCTCTGGGCTCCTCTAGGCCAAGGGCATGAGTCCCTCTACACCAAGGTCCACCATTTGTTTTCCCCTCCATCCATTTGGACTTGGGCTGCTGTGCGTGGTACTGCCAGAGCATATGTGCACAAGGCCTCAATGTGGACCCATTTTTCAGATGCCAACTTCGTGTTGGGCAGCTACAAGACTGAGCAGTGCCCGAAGCCGCCGCGTCTGTGTCGCCAGGGCTATGCATGCCCACACTTCCACAGCAGCAGGGACCGGCGACGGAACCCCCGCAGGTTCCAGTACAGGTGAGCCCAGGCACCAGTGTCACTTGGGAGATCATGGAGGTTCCTGGGGCAGGCACTCACTGTACCGGCCTTGCCTTGCAGCCCTACTCTTCCTATACCCTGGGAGCTGCCTGGAGCCTCTTTGGAGGGGGTATCTTGTCCTGGTGCTACCCCTGCCCTCGGAGTTGTCAGACAGGAGCTGCCACGTTCTCTCACTGTAGTAGTTCTCACCTCAGGAGAGGAAGGTGTCTGGAAGGGCAGCAGGTTGTTGGAAGCAGATGAAGGCCCAGGGATAGGCTTCTCTGCTTCCTAGAGTTAAGACAGTCAGGAGCCTGTTTTGTCCATCCTCACTGAGCAGGGAGATGGTCACCAGAGTACCTGGGGATATGTCCTTGAGTGACCCAACATGTGCCTTCTCCCTAGGTCCACACCCTGCCCCAGCGTGAAGCATGGGGATGAGTGGGGGGAGCCCTCTCGCTGTGATGGTGGCGACAGCTGTCAGTACTGCCATTCCCGCACAGAGCAGCAGTTCCATCCTGAGGTATGTCCCTGCCTGATGGGGCCTGGGGGTCCCTAAGACACCCTCAGGTTCAGCAATTCATAGAAGGACTCAGGACTCAGAAAAGCTGTTGGGGCCAGGTGCTGTAGCTCAAGCCTATAATCCTAGTTCTCTGGGAGGCCGAAGCAGGAGGATTGCCTGAGCTCATGAGTTCAAGACCAGCCTGAGCCAGAGTGAGACCTCATCTCTAAAAATAGCTGGGTGTTGTGGCAGGTGCCCATAGTCCCATCTACTTGGGAGGTTGAGGCAAAAGAATTGTTTAAGCCCAAGAGTTTGAGTTTGCTGTGAGTTGTGACACCATGGCACTCTACCGAGGGTGACAAAATGGGACTCTGTCGCAAAAAAAAAAATAATCCATTGTGTTCACAGTAGCACAGTAGGCCTCATCAAGTCTGGGGAGACTGGGCACCCTTCCCCTTGTCCCCCTGGCTGGAATGGAGGATGTGCCCCATTTCCCCATTTGCTAACCAGGGACTTCCCTGGTGCCTTGGTGTCTAGGCATTTTATTTGGGTTTGGTCATGTAGATCTGTCTGGCTGCCCTGCAGCTGGCCCAAGTCTCTGGCACCCCAGAGGCAAGCTGCTTGGATGTGGTCTAGTCTCAGCATAGGTTGTGTGAGGTGAGCTGTCCCACCTGGCCCTGCACCCCACATGAACAGAGACATCTCACTGGGCCACATATTCTAGTACCTTAGAGGTCATCCCAGGGCTGGACCAATGCCTGTACTTCTTCAGAACGTTCAGGGCGTGGACAGCCCAAGGCTGCTGAGTTCCTAGCTGGCTGCACAGTTGCTAAACAGAGCACACTTAGATTTGTGTTTAAAGTGAACACACACTGGGCACAGTGGAATACACATTTGTGTTCCCAGTTCTCAGGAGAAGAGAAGGAGGTAAGAGGATCACTTAAACCCAGGAGTTGGCTTGGCGCCTGTGGCTCAAGTGGCTAAGGTGCCAGCCATATACACCTAAGG